ACGAATCAAACTTTATATTATTTTGATCACCTTCATTTATTATTTATTATACTGTATTTAATAATTTCTAGTTTTGTTAAGAGACTTACTGTAGATTTAAATGTTGTCTATTGCTTGTGTACAAATGATCCTGATATTTTATAATCCTTTTGATTTTCCCGTTCATTATACAGAAAAGTATTCATTTACACTTCAATAAATTTTAAATAAACTTTTGCATAAGTTTTTATTGTTGTTTTGCTTTTTACTTGAATCTCAATTATTTCAAAAGTAATATTATTTTTAAATTTTAAATAAAAATAAAAGTTATTTACCTATAAAATGTATTTACAAAATTTTATTTACACTATTAGAATTTAAATTTTTAAAACAAATTTAATAAACAATTTTTACTTATTTATTTGAATAGTGTATCATATTTTTATCTTTAGAAAATTAAATTTAACAATTATAATTTATAAATATTCAAAGTAATGTGCTTGGAGTATTGTATAGTACTTGTATTTAAAGTTAAAAATAATATTATTGCATAAGTTGTGTGATACGATCTTTCATTTTTTGCAACATTAATTTTGACTTAATTTGTGTAAATGTTTACTAAAATTTTCACTAATTATTTTGTCTGTACCATTATCATTTTCTTAAGATTATAATCAATAGAATATTTGGGTTAATAGTATATTTATAAATTTGATTTTTGAAAATACCTTTTTAAAACTTTACTAGAATCATTTTACTCCCTATAACCTTTATATATAAATATTAGACTATACACTATATACTTAAATAAATAATTAGTATTTTATTAATTATAAAAGTCGAGTGAATGAGACATAAAGTGAGTGATTGAATGGAGTCAAAGAGCATGTCGTCTCCTTTAGACTATAGAAAAGGTTAGACGAAGTCATGTCATGTCGTTCCACTAGTTTTTTGAGCGCCGGTAGGATTGCTTTTTGTTGAGTCAGTCGATAAGTGGACTTGTTTTTCTCCGTATTATGCAACACTAATGTCAGCCCATTATATATTTGTATTTAAGATTTTTTACCACAAAAGTCAAGACATAAAAATATTTTGTCCGAACGGTGTGCCCAACCATCTCAACCATCTGTCCTTCTGTGCAAAAATGCACTTTTTTATGACTTTTCTTTTAGAACTCCTTCTGGTTTTTGAGTCCCTTTTTTACTCTATTCTGTCCGTCAGACTAACCTCTGCTCCACACCTACAACATCACTGACCTACTGGTGACCGCTCCCAACCCTCCCAATCCATGTGTGCTCTGTCTATGTCTGGCTATTAGTTACGTTCGGCATATTCTTTACTCAATCCATAATCAGGTCATAACATATTCAAAACTTATGTCGTGAAGTGATATTTATTTGTCTGTCTTTTTTCGCCTACAATTTCGTTGCTATTATCAATACAATTGCTTTAAGAATTTCGGTCAAAAAGTCTATTTTATTTGGTTTTAGTATTTGAATATTTAGCGAATATTTGTGCACAGAATTCAGAGACCTTTTAGCAGTGTTTGCAATCTTTATGTTTGAAAATTGAATTTCAATTGAATAGCTCATACAGGTATTGGTATTTGAGTATAATATTCACAGAAACAAGTTTTTATGAATCAGTTTGCTTTGAACACGACATTTATAGCGGTCATTGTGCTGTTGGGCTGTTCGGGTGTATGGATGGCATGCATGAGCGATGGCGCTCGGGATGTGCACCAGTCCTGCCCTTGAACCCCATTGGCCCGCAATCGGGTTTAATGCTCGCAACTCTACATATACACCGCTATTACTTCAGCCATTACTTCACCATTACTTCATTGCTAACTCTCACACCATTTCACACCAATTCAGGCAAACGTTTCAATGCAATCCAATCCTATGTTAATTACATCGAGATTCTCAGAGACCAACCTCTTTGCACTCAAACCATTGTATTAAACACTCCTTTACTCACATATAATACCTATTATACAGTGCACTACTCCGTACAGTAAATTAAATAACGCTTTGTATAGAATATTATGAATTATGTAGTTTTTGTTAACTTTTGCAGAATTAACTCATTTGTTAAATGCTTAAAATACCTTTATTGAGATTGACAAAATACTTTGAATTTATTATTTCTACAAATTCTATATTGCAAACAAATCAAATGATAAGGGTACTGTACAATACAGTATTTACAAGTGTACTACGGTATTAATACTAACAACACAGACATTATAAATGAGTTTAATACTTTATTTCAACATTCCGCACCGGTATATGACAAACGCTATAATCTTAATCTGTTTGTAAGATCTGTTTAATGCCAATCACTTGCAAGATTCAATGCAATGGCAATAACGGGAATTTGCTTATTCTGATCATTTGTAATTTCAATTTAAACAGAAACAATTCTCTACCTGAGATATTTATACATTTATATGAATCTGTACAGGTATAATAAAGGTATTAGAAATTGAAATTTAGACAGTTATTTATTCTAACTCGTAAGACATACAATACTCCTACAGTAGTGCCACAGTTATGCCTTACAGTGCAGAGCTTACAGCGCGCCTTAAGTTAGATTTTAATATAAAAAGCGAAAAATACAAAACACTGAAAAACTGGTACGAATTGTGAGACATATTTCTCGGATACACAGTAAGAGAGAAATGAATGAAACATATGAGAAGAGAAAGTTGTGTTGTGTTTGGTTTGAAAACAAGGAAAATAGTCGGAATAAGAGGAACAGCAGATTGTGATGTGATGTTAAAAATATACAGTAAGTTATACTCGATGTAGAAGTGAGTCAGTAGTGAATCTATCGGTGCTATTATTGAATGTATAGAATTGGCGATTAGAGGACAGGGAAGTAAACAACTTTTGGTGCAATACAATAGATGTTTTGCTGCTTCCGAGTTCCTAAGAATAGCATAGAATAGCATTTGGCTGTATGTGCTGTACAGCCGTTATTGAAATGTTGAGCTCCGGGGGAATATCAAGTAGGGGAGAGTCAGAGACAACTAACATGAGGTGATAAGGAGAGCCACTGACAGGTGCCCTCCAGACCCCCTGTTTATGTCAAAAAGTGAAAGTTTTCATCATTTCATTAATATCTGGTATTAATTATTAGGATGTAATCAAAGGTATCGGAAAGGGATTGATTGAGCGGATGGTCGGTCAGAGCACTCCCACGCTATGTGGCGACCAGTTTATGGCCGATGGCCTCTCTCTGGCCTTTCGTAGTCTTCTTTGTGTCTCAACTTTCTTATCCTTTTATACGGAGAGTGAAAATAAAACCTGAGCTCAAACTTTGGAGCTCTTCCTGAAAGGTCTGAGAGGGGAGACGGGAGGCGAACAAAAGTGTTTACTTCTTTAAGGTTGTAAACAGCCGTATGACCTAAAGAACCCCTAACCCAGAGGACCGGCATATTATTGAGGCAGGCCTTCTAGAAACATATCAGTGCACTCCACGACCTAACCTAAACTTACTACTCTATGCGCTCTCAACTTCTAGGGATAGAAGTGCACACTAGGTCCTAGTAGCTCCTACCTACTCTGCCTACTCTACATCACACATCACAATGCATGAGCCGCACCACTAGAGCACTAGTAGTTCACCAATACTTACCAATACCGCACCACTACTGCACCCACTTTCACTCATTCACCAGTTGATAAACAAGCGAAAGGTTAGCAAAAGGAAGTTTTTAGGTCACAAACATCTCATCCCATCCAACCATCCAACGGACAATTCACTGTTTTTTACCAAAGATTTGCTCTAAAACTCAAAAGACATTTCTTTTCTATAAATATTTCGTTTCTATTATTTACTGAACTTTTAACACATTTTCACTCTTTTGTTGTCAATTCATACAATAATATTAAGGAATTTATTAAACAATTATAAATTAACTATTTTTAAATACTTTGGGAACCAATTTATTATGCTTGATTGTGAGTAACATAATTATTAAATATTGTGTAACACTAAGCAATCAACTATAATAAGTTATTACCTTGATAAATTATTTTCACAAATTCCTTTACCACTCCTGTGGTCGACTTATATTCATATAAATTACTGTATTATTCTTGATAGTGTTATTCCTCTAACTATTTGCAAACATTTTGTATTTGCAGTTAAGAATTATCAAATGCAAAACCAAATTAATTCATGAATTGATTTAAAGAGAGTCATTGAATTTATTTGCCGCAAAGAATTCAATGGAAAAATTTAAAATTGAACTCAAAGTATTAGCCAATAGTTTAAAAATATAGTATAAGAGAACTGATCGCTTCTATTCTGTTTGTGAAAACAATTCTTGATTCTTGAGATACACTTATGTATTATTCATTGTCATAATATCATAAATCAAAGGATAGAATTATTTAATATTTTATTTCATATGGGGTTTGAGTTCTCATTTCTTAAGAACCACTCAATAATAACATGTTTTTAATCACATCGTTGTCCTTGTCTTTAGTTTCAGTGTTTAGTCCCTCTATTTCTAAGACATAAGTGTTCGTCACTCTCTTCACTCTCTTCTAACATACCTTTTGTCTGTTTCACAAAATTCGCTACTTTTTGCCTCAAGATATTATGGAGTGGAACAGCAGTCTCTATAATAACGTTCCACCTGCCTGTCCAATACTACAGTACAATAATGATACTTTTAATATAATCATTAAATAATCAAAGATTGCAATTGTTTTTATAATGTTTTATCTTTTTTCTGTTTACTGAACAGAAGATTCAGACTTTAAAGCAATACTTTATCGAAACTTTTGGTTTCGCTTCTCAATTACCGCACAAATTGGTCGTTATTTCAAATGATAATTAGCTTTGAATTGAGGCTTAATTTTACAAAATTAGTTCTGCTTTCGATACTCGACTAACGATTATATCACTTAACATAATATGTAACACTGATATACAGACTTTCTTTTCTACTAGAATTGTAAAACTTTTGAACAACAATTGACTTATTGGTTATTTATGGATCAATTACTAATACTTTAGGAACAAATGGTTTGGTGTAATGTTTATGACTAAATCAATGAATTAGTCATAAATATGTCGAATCGAAAAATAAGATCTCAAAGACAGTGCTATTCTCCGACCGAAAGATTTGATTATTTGCAGAAACTTCTTCACGAATTCAATGTCACAGATTCGAGGGGTAATCGTTTCATTTGAAATCTTATACCACTTTAAGCTATGTTTTGATTAATTGTTAAACAAACAGAAGCCAAGAGACAGGTGTTGGCCAATATATGCAGCTTTGCATACAATCCCATCAATTTCGAGGCCCTCAACCGATTGAATATAATCCCAACTCTATTGGATTCACTCCGACTAAAGGATGACAAACTCAAAGAGTTTGCAATCAGTGGTCTTTGCAACCTCTCAGCAGGTATTTGTATCGCATATCTTATAAAATTTATTTGTAAGTTATTACAGAATTTAAATTATGTTTAATATTTTTAGATTCAAATAATATGCACACAATTATTACTAATAAGGGTTTGAATAAAATTCATAAATGTTTGGCACAGAATTTATCGAATGAACAGATTATTATATCAACACTAACCCTGCTCATATATTCAAAAGATCTTAATAATCAAGTATCTGGTAAGAATTTTATAGACTAATATTACTCACCAATTGACAAGTGTTCACATTTGTATAATCCTTTTAACAGAACATTTGCGATCGGAAATTGACGAAACAATTTCACATTTGTCTACAAATAATAAATGCAAAAGAATCGAAAACTTAATTCAAATTTACAATGAAAATGATTCAACCATTTAATAATAAAATCGTATCAATGCATTTTCACACATTTTCTAATAGATTATTCAATTATCTTGAAATTCAATCGATTATTTTTACAATATATTTATTAAAAATTGATTAATTAATACTAAATTATGTCTATGTTTATCAAAGTCAATTTCTAATTGAATTAGTTTCTGGCATTCATTTCTAGAAAGGTGCAATAAAATTTAATACATTAATAATATTCAAAATATAACATTAATCAAGCAAACCAATCCAAATTGAAAATCCAAATTTTAATGCATTTATATTAAAGTGAATTAAAGGCACATTTGATTGTTTATTCAAAGACTAGATGTTATATAGTTTTGAAAACAGTAATGAATAAAATATCACATAATGCATAAAATATTACAGAATGCTTTCCAAGTCTAATGTACTGTATGACAAACTTTGTACATAATTAGCATTTTTAAAAACAATCTTAGTTTCAAAACTTTTAATTATTTCTCGAAAACTGCAAATTGCATATTCATTCAGTGTTCAAACCATTGATTAACGTTTATTTAGCTTTAAATGTCAATACTTAATAACTTATAATCCGAGTGCACAACATTCCCAGGAATCACATGCCTTTCAATTGAAATCCTAAATATATTTATATTTATTTTCTTAAATGTTTAACCAAAAAATTAATGTTATTTTCGTTTTTTAATGTTTGTATAATTGGACGCTTTTTTGGGCGTCGGGATCACAATCTTATAGGCTTC